AGTCCTGGGCATATCTCTGGAGGAAACTCTAATTTGAAAAGATACATGCACTCCAATTGTTCATAGAAGCACTATTTGCAATGGAAGCAAACTAAATATTCATCGACAGATGACTGGATAAAGAAGTATGGTGTATAAATATACAATGGACTATTACTCAGCCATAAAGATGAATGAAATACTGCCATTTGCAGCAACATGGATGGACCTACAGATTATCATACTAAGTGAAATAAGTCAGACAAAGACAAATGTTATATGATATCATTTAAATGTGGAATCTAAAATATGATACAAATGAACTTATTTACAAAACAGAAACAGACTCACAGACATAGAAAATAAACTTACGATGACCAAAGAGGAAAGGGAGGGGGAAGGATAAATTAGGAGTCAGGGATTAACATATACACACTACGGTATATAAAATAGATAAACAACAAGGATTTTAATGTATAGCACAGGGAACTACATTCAGCATCTATAGTGGAAAAGAAATCTGAAAAAGAATGTATGTGTATCTGAGATACATATGTGAATCACTTTGCTGTACACCTGAACTAACACAATATTGGAAATCAATTATACTTTGATTTTAAAAATTTAAATTAAAAATATTACTTGGGATGTCATCTTAACAATATGACATCTGAAATACATTGTCATCCAATCTAGGAACATAGAGTACATATTCATTTATTCACACTTCGTTGAGTTTTTCTCAGCAATAGTTTGTAGTTGTCCACATAGAAGTCTTCCCCATCTTTTGTTAAATTTCTTTCTAGGTCTTCTATACTTATGATGTTATTGTAAATGGCATTTTAAAAATAAACTATTTTTAGAACAGTTTTAAAGAAAAATTGTGAAATAATACAGTTCCTCTGTACCCCACACTCAGTTTCCCCTCTTGTCAACAACTTACACTAGCATGCTGTGTGTGTAATTGATACACTGGTATTAAGCAGAGTCCAGAGTTTATTCAGATTTCCTTAGTCTTGTTTTTATTTTTTAGATTTTATCAAGAAGTTTTAATAACTTTAACTTTTAATGTTTTACATTTCTAAAATTTGGCTTCTAAGAATACTTTGTTTTTTGAACATTGATATTTTGTTTGTTGTTAGTTTTCCCCCAGTTTTTAAAATAAATTTTTATCGTATCATTAATTATATTTCTTTTATAGGGATGTGTCTTTGCAATATGAAAGCAAATTTTATTAAAATTGGAGGTGTTCGGTTGAAATTGGACACGACATCATTTTGTTAAGCAAATTTGTATTGAGAGTCAAAAATCAGAAATACGAAACTTGCCATGGCATTTCATAATTACAGTTCGGTCTGATGACTGTAAACGTTGTGCACTGCATCTGAGTCTTCTTTATTGAGCCTTCTTTTTTTTCCTGCTGCTTTGAAAAAGTCTATTTTGGAATGCACACTAATGTTTACCAGTTTCTTATTATGTCAAGGATTTTCCTCTTGTAAAAGAAACGAGGGGCATTTATAATTAGATGAAGGTCTTAAGGGGATACTGCTCTGAAATCATGCTGTGCCTAACACTAGTCTTGAAGGAGTGCGGGGCCAGATCTGGGTCTGTTCTCTGAGAAATGGGGGTGCTGTGTGTAAGAGAGAGAGAGGAGAGGAGAAGGGGGAATGGGGAAGAGAATACTACTCAGTTAATAGACTGGAGCATTTATGCAGTGAGGTGTCAGTGTAAAAGTATCAGTTGCAGCCACTTAGAAGGACGGCTCGCCATTTCTAGCAAAT